GCGGCTGGGCACGCTCGCGGGAGCCACGGTGCTCCTCGGGCGCCTTTGTGAGGGCAGCGCGCCTGGCTGGCCAAGCCTCGAAGGCGGGGCGGGACATCGGAGCACCAGGCCACAAGACCGCGGGGTGAGAGGCCACAAGGTACTCTCCCGCCAAAGGTGGCGGCGAGGCCCACCGCTGGCCAGACTGGCCCACAGGTGGCCCACCGCACCATCTCCTGGAAAGGCAGCTCGGCCAGACTGGCCTGCGCCAAACGGGCGGGGGAATGCTGCCTGAGATGGCCACAGTCGGCACGCACACTCGAGCTTGCATCACGGAGCGCGGCCTCTACACCGCGGCGCAGCTCTGCATGATACCGTGCAAGCGGATACCAGGAGCAGGGAAGAGAGGAGTAGTCGGCGGCGCGCCAAGTGGAAGCGAGAAGGGGCAGGCCTTCTCAAAGGCGGCGGTGTTTCAGGCTTTCGAAGGAGCCGTCCCTGTATTCGTTGAATGCGCAGAAACCTTCTCAGAACGCCCGAGGCCTCCTGAGCCTTCTCAGACGGCCCGCCCGCCCGCCGATGCTCGCCGCCAGAGTAGGGAAGGAGAGGAGGAGGAGGAGGAGGAGGAGGAGGAGGAGGAGGAGGAGGAGGAGGAGGAGGAGGAGGAGGAGGAGGAGGAAGGAAGAGGAGGAGGAGCAGGCGGAGGCTGTGGAGGGAGCCGGGCCCCGGACCGCCCGCCGGGCCACCCACGAAGAACTCACTGCGTGAGCGGCTGCGCGCCTCCACCACGCACGCTGCACAGACCGGCGCTGCGCAGAAGGGCGGCGTGCGCCGCCTCGGCCCGTGCCTCGCCCTTTGGGCCAAGGGGAGCGACGCGGCGGCAGCAAAACGCGACCGAGAGGCACCGCCATGCACCCCACAATCTCACCACTCCCCCGTACGCTCTCAGGCGACAGAGCCCCCCCCCGACACCCGCGCGGAATGGAACGGCCACTGGGCCAAGGCCAGCGGCCCGGGCAGCGCGCCGCGCCCCCGTGCGCTCACGCCGCCCTCCGCTCGAGCGTCACCTCCGCGGGGGGGGGGGGGGCAGCGCGCGCCGGACGCGGCGGTCGCTCGATCGGAGAGGCCGCCGCCGATCGCGCGAGCTCGGGCACTGCGGCCGCGCGCGCCCGGAGCGGCCAGTGCGCCTATGGCCCTTGCGCGCAAGGGATCGGCAAGGGCATCGGGAGAGCAGGACCAGCTGGTCCGCCGTGGGACCAAGGCTCCTCTGGGCCGCGTCGCACTGACGTCGGTGGTGCAGGCCACGATCTTGTCCAGCTGGCAGCAGACCAACTCCAACTCCTGGCGCGGCGCTGCTCTCGCAGACCCTCCCCGACCTGCTCGCCCCCCTGCTGCTCCTCCTCGCTCTCTGGCCACCCTTCCTCTTCTAGTCCTCCTCCTCCCCTCCTCCTCCGCCTCCTCCTCCTCCTCCTCCTCCTCCTCCTCCTCCTCCTCCTCCTCCCCCTCCTCCTCCTCCTCCTCCTCCTCCTCCTCCTCCTCCTCCTCCTCCTCCTCCCGTGTGCTGCCGACGGGTGGCCGACCCCGAAGCCCTGAAAGCACCGGCGCTGCTGAGGAGGTCAACCTCTACGGTCGCCGGCGTCCGCCGAGGGGGAAAGGCCGATCCCTCGGTCCGTCGACTCGAAAGCGAGGCCCTGTCTGGAACAGAGGGGCGCACCGCCGACCGCGAACGGGCCTGTCCACTCGAGACACCGGCGGCAGGCAGCAGCACGGCCCCCTGGGCAGCCGGCGGCGCCGCTTGAGCCCGGGCGCGTAGACGAGGTGGGGAAGCAGTCAGGAGCTGCCTCTTGCCCTCCTCCTCCTCCTCCCTCCTCCTCCTCCTCCTCCTCCTCTCCTCCTCCCTATCCTCCTCCCTATCCTCCTCCTCCCTCCTCCTCCTTCCTCCTCCTCCTCCTCCTCCTCCTCCTCCTCCTCCTCCTCCTCCTCCTCCTCCTCCCCTCCTCCTCCTCCCCCTCCTCCTCCTCCTCCTCCTCCTCCTCCTCCTCCCCTCCTCCTCCTCCTCCTCCTCCTCCTCCTCCTCCTCCTCCTCCTCCTCCCTCCTCCACCTCCTCCTCCCTCCTCCTCCTCCTCCTCCTCCTCCTCCTCCTCCTCCTCCTCCTCCTCCTCCTCCTCCTCCTCCTCCTCCAGCGACGAGGGAAGCGTAGCGGTACAGGTACCTTTTCCTTCTCTGGCACAACGCGTACTCCCGCCCCCACCGTCCCGGGGGCCAGTGGGCTCCTTGCGCAGCTGCTCCGGCGTCGGGTGCTCGCAGAACTTCACGGTCTTCACCAGCGACTCCTCGCGCGCCCGAGGCGGGGCGACGGAGGGGGAGGAGGGGGGGAGCGAGGGAGAACACGCAAGAGAGACGAGGGAGGACGAGGGAGGAGGAAGAATTCTTTACGCTTCGCGTATCCCCACCAGCCCATCTCACAACAGCAACTCATGCGAAGCATGCCGACAGTCGTGTTTTTCAGGCGTGTGTCCATTTGGCCCCGCATATCTCCCCTGTTCCTCCTTCCTCCCGCCTCCTTGTACATCCTCCTTGTGGGGGGAGCGGGAGAAGGACGAGGCGGAGGAGGAGGGAGAGAAAGCGCTCCTCGTGATTTGAGTCGTTTGGGGTTTCTCGTCCTGGTGTGAGTCGTTCGGGCCCTTCTTCCTGGTGTGAGTCGTTCGGGCTCTTCGTGGTGTGAGTCGTTCGGGCTCTTCGTCCTGGTGTGAGTCGTTCGGGCTTCTCGTGGTGTGAGTTGTTCGGGCCCCTCATCCTGGTGTGAGTCGTTCGGGCCCCTCCTCCTGGTGTGACTCGTTCGGGCTCCTCGTGGTGTGAGTCGTTCGGGGCCCGCGTCGTGGTGTGAGTCGCTCGGGCTCCTCGTGGTGTGAATGGGTCGGGCGCCTCGTCCTGGTGTGAGTCGTTCGGGGTCCTCCTTCTGGCGTGAGTCGTTCGGGCTCTTCGTGGTATGAGTCGTTCGGGCCCCTCGTCCTGGTGTGAGTCGTTCGGGCTCCTCGTGGGGCCTCTTGGGGGCCTCTTGGAGCCTCTTGGGGCCTCTTGGGGGCCTCTTGGGGGCCTCTTGGGGGCCTCTTGGGGGCCTCTTGGGGGCCTCCTGGGGCCTCTGGGGGCCTCTTGGGGGCCTCTTGGGGGCCTCTTGGGGGCCTTGGGGCCTCTTGGGGGCCTCTTGGGGGCCTCTTGGAGGCCTCTTGGGAGGCTCCTGGGGGCCTCTTGGGGCCATCTTGGGGCCTCTTGCGACCTCCTCAGAAGCGCAAAGAAGCGCTGCCCCCTGAGAAGGACAAAATGAGCCCAAAACCCTCGTAAAATCAATGATTTTGCTATGAAGGAAGATGAGCGCGGCCCCCTCGGGAGGCCAAAATGGGGCCAAAACCATCGTAAAAGCAAGGATTTTGGCTTCACAGAAGAGGAGGGGGCTACAAGAGTGCCCCCCCGTCGGGGCCAGAATCCTCGTGAGGGTCGTCGCTTTTTAGCCCTCCCAGGAGTCGAAAAAGACCCCCCTGACGACCCGCGGAACTCCCTCTCCAGGCCCAGGGGGAGGGGGTAGGGGGAGGGGTAAACCCCTCCCCGAAGGGGAAGAAGGGGGGTTGAGGACAGAGGGGGCTCGCTAAACCACTCACGCCCTAAAGGGCTGGTGGGATTAGGAAAGAGGAGCGACCCTGAGATCCAGCGTTGCGAAAACAAAAACGAGCATCGCGAGAGATCCCAATCAAAGCCCCGGGCCCCATCGTTCTTCGGAAAATTTTCGAGCTGGATCGACCTGTGCCAGTCCTGGGTCCGAAGCCGGGCGAACACGCCCGGCGTGAAAAAATGCAACGCCCGGATCTCGGGGCAGTGAAGCGAGGGAGGAGGCGCTGGATGGGGAAAAGGGGGTGAGAGAGACGAAGAGAGAGAGAGAGAGGAGAGAGAGAGAGAGAGAGATGTATATGATTAGATGCAGAGAGAAAGAGAGAGGAGCGAGAGAGGGAGCGAGAGAGGGAGCGAGAGAGGACAGAACGATCGCCGCGGAGGGGCGGGAGGCAGATGCGCCTGCGCCGCGGCGGCCCCCACAGCAAGCGGTTCGGTGCACACGAGCTGCCGCCGGCGCCGGTGTTGTGCGCCTCCTGTTCCTCCTCCTCCTCCTCCTCCTCCTCCTCCTCCTCCTCCTCCTCTTCGTCCTCCCTCCTGTTCCTCCTCTTCGTCCTCCTCCTTCCTCCTCCTCCTCCTCCTCCTCCCTCCTGTTCCTCCTCCTCCTCCTCCTCGATCCTCCCCTCCTCCTCCTTCCTCCTCCTCTTCGTCCTCCTCTTCCTACTCCTTCTCCTTCTCCTCCTCCTCCTCCTCCTCCTCCTCCTCCTCCTCCTTCCTCATCCCGCTTCCCTCCTCCCTCCTCCATCCTGGCTCCTCCCTCCTCCCTCATCCACCTCTTCTATCCGTCTCCTCCTCCTCCTCCTCTCTCCTCTCCCTCCTTCTCCACCTGGTCCTTCCCCCTCCTCATTCTACCTCCGCCCTCCTCTTCCCCCTCCTCCCCCATCCCTTTTCCTTATAGATAACTCCTCCCTGTCGTACCCCGAGACGGGTCGGTAGGGCCAGCCAGGCGTTTCGCCTGAGAACTCCTCACCATGTATGATCGAAGCTTGAAGTTCGCCAGAGCTTCACGGATGGAAGGCGGGTCGTTTTCAAAATGTGGCTCTCGCCTGAGCGCCGCGCGCATTCGTTATAAAAGTCTGCCAGAGCTTCTCGTCTGGAGGGCGGGCGGTTTCCAAAAGGTGACTCTCGCCTTAGCGCCACGCACACTCATCTTAAACGTGTGCATCAGCTTCACGGATGGAGGGCGGGCTCCCTTTCAAAATGTGGCAATCGCCGTAGCGCCGCGCGTAATCGTTTTGAAAGCGTGCAGAACTTGCCCGAATGGAGGGCGGGCGGTTTTCAAAATGTGACTCTCGCCTAAGGGCCGCGCATATTCGTCATGAAATGTTGCAAGAGTTTCAACATGTAGCTCTCGCCTTAGCGCCGCGCACATTCGTGTTAAAGGCATCAAGAGCTTCACGGATGGATGGCAGTGCCTTTTCAGAATGTGGCTCTCGCCTTCGCGCCGCGTACACTCATTATTAAAGTGTATTGCGGTTTCACGGGTTATCATGCTGATGTCCCAGAAAGGGTGTCCTGGCACGATTTAGGATCGCCAGGTTGCAACGGAAACGTTGATTTGCGGCGTTGAAGTCCCAGGAGTGGTTGTTCGGCACAGTTGAAAATGATCGCACGGTTGTTTTCCAGCGGGGCTCCTCCCGCAGCGGAAATAAGTCCGCATGGAAGCGTATGAAGAAGGAACTTGGAGGCAATGTTTATTGCAACATCGTCGGTGAGTCTTGGGCTTGCACTGGTCGTCCGTCCTCCTCTTCCTCCTCCATCTCCCTCCTCCCTCCTCCCTCCTCCCTCCTCGCTCCTCCCTCCTCCTCCTCCTCCTCCTCTTCCTCCTCCTCCTCCTCCTCCTGCTTCCTCCTTCCTCTCTCCTTATCCTCCTTCTCCCTCCATCGCTTCAGGTCGCTGAGCTTTACCGCGCCCTCGCTGCCCTGGCCGCCCCACGGCCTCTGTTCCTGCGACCCCCTCACCTAACAACTTCACTCGCGACACCGCCCCGCCGTCGACCTTCCCGAGACCCTTGTCCTTGAGACCCCCCCACCCGACACCTTCCCGCCCGAAGCCGCCCCGCCGTCGACCTGGTCCGACACCCCCCACCCTGCCCTGGGACCTACGTTTTTGAATTCGCCCCGCCGTTCACCTGGTCCGACACCCCCCACCCTGCTCTGGGACCTCTGTCCTTGGGACCACCCACCCGACAATCTCCCGCCCGAGACCGCCCCGCCGCCGACCTGGCCCGAGACCCCCACCTTGCTTTGGAACCTCTGCTCTTGGGACTCTCCACCCGACAGTTTCCCGCCCGAGACAGCCTCGCCGGCGACCTGGTGCCCACCACTTTCCCGCCCAGAACCGCCCCGCCGTCGACCTGGTCCGACACCCCCACCCTGCCAATGGACCTCTGTTCTTGGGATTCCCCATCCGACAATGTCCCACCCGAAGCCGCCCTGCCGTCGACCTGGACCGAAACCCCCACTCTGCACTGGAACCTCTTTTGGGAGCCCACCACCCGACTACTCCCGACGAAACCGCCCGGCCGTCGACCAGGTCTGACATTCCCACCCTGCCCAGGGCCCTCTGTTCTTGCTATCTCGTACCTCCCGAAACTGCCCCGCCGTCGACCTGGTCCGACACCCCCCACCCTTCCCTGGGATAACTGTTCTTGGGGCCCCGCACCCAACATTTTCCCGCCAAATCGCCCCGCCATCCTGGTCCGACACCCCCATCCTGCTCTGGGACCTCTGTTCTTGGTACCCCTCGCGCGATAACCGCCTCGCCGTCGACCTGGCCTGACCCCCCCCCCTCTGGGACATCAGACCATGGGACCCAACACCCAACTTGCCTGCCCGAAACCGCCCCACCGCCGACCTGGTCCGACACCCCCACCCTGCCATTGGTCTGCTGGTTTCGGGACCGCCCACCCGACACTTTCCCGCCCGAGACCGCCCCGCCGTTCACCTGGTCCGACACCCCCGCCCTGCCCTGGGACCTGTCCTTGGGACCACACACCCGACAATCTCCCGCCCGAGACCGCCCGCATTCGACCTGACCCGACACCTCCACCCTGCCAATGGATCTCTGTTCTTGGGGTTCCCCATCCGACCATTGCCAGCCCGAAACCGCACCGCCGCCGACCCGGTCCGTCACCCCCACGCTCCCCTGGGACCTCTGTTCTTGGGATCTCCCACCCGACAACTTCAGGCCGATACCGTGTCTCTGTCTTGACTGGATCTTCTTGCGCCGATCTTCGTTCGTTGAAGCCCTCCGAGCCCCCCCCGAGGGACCCGAACCTGAACAAAATGACCTTCGCCAGCACCCCGTGCAAGTCCTCGAGCCGAGGCCTTGATTTCTTCAATACACGGTGCCAGGACCTCCCGACGGAGCACGACACCACGATGTGTTAATACACATCCAGGTGAAGATGCATCATGGGAAACTCGGAGAGCCCGACAGCCTGCAAATTGCATCATGCGCCACGGCCGTTCCAGAACGTTCTGGAACGCTCTGAGAGCATTCCGAAACGCTCTGGAGCGACTAATCCTCATCCCAGGCCTGTCTGGCGACACCTCCCCCACGAAAACGGCGACACCTGCGCGGTTCGCAGCCCCCCTGGACGCCGCGAGGCCCCGGCAGGTTCCACTCCGCTGGACCGCTGGACCTCCCAGAAGCCCACGAAAGCGGCGACAATTGCGCGGTTCGCGTCCCCGCAGTGAGCCGCGAGGTCTCGGCAGGTCCGCGTGGACCTCCACTCCGCTGAACCTCCCAGGCGCCCACGAAATCGAGGCCAATTGCGCGGTTCGCAAACCCCCGCAGGGAGCCGCGAGGTCTCGGCTGGGTCTGCGTGGACCTCCACTCCGCTGGACCTCCCAGGAGCCCACGAAAGCGGCGACAATTGCGCGGTTCGCAACCTCGCAGGGAGCCGCGAGGTCTCGGCAGGTCCGCGTGGACCTCCATCCCGCTGGACATCCCAGAAGCCCACGAAAAAAAGAAAATTGCGCGGTTCGCAACCCCGCAGTAAGCCGCGAGGCCTCGGCAGGTCCGCGTGGACCTCCACGCTGAACCTCCCAGGAGCCCGCGAAAGCGGCGACAATTGCGCGGTTCGCTCCCGCAGGGAGCCACGAGGTCTCGGCAGGTCCGCGTGGATCTCCACTCCCCCGGACCTCCCAGGAGCCAGACAAACGATGTTCGTGGAAAACTGTTTTGGAATCGGGGTCACCTGGCTTTCAGGGAATGGCGGACATGACAAACATACATCAAGAACACCAGCCACAGACATTCGGACCACAGGCCTTGATGCACTGGAACTGCATGGTGGGGATCACCCGACGCAAACCAAGGTGTCATGCTGTTTATTTGGTATTCGAGTGCCTCCGTAAACCCTCAGCAAGCATCTGATAAATGCCAGGAGCTGCTAGCGGAAAAAAAGTCGAGCCCTGGCCCAATCCAAACCACGCCGCTAAAACGGCACGCCGCCGTCATCAGTCGAGGCGGCGTGAGGGCGACGTCGTAGTAGAGGGGTGCCGTTTTTCACGACGCTGCGCATGACTGGCCAAAAGAACAAGGATGCGCTACAGCAGACACATACGATAAAAGAAGTCATGTCATGAGAAAGCTTCGGGCACACTATTCGTCTCCTCCTCCTCCTCCTCCTCCTCCTCCTCCTCCTCCTCCTCCTCCTCCTCCTCCTCCTCCTCCATTCCTTTCCATTATACATAACTTCTCCCTGTCGCACCCCGAGGCCAGTTTTTAGGGCGGGCCGGGCGTTTCGCCTGAGACTTCCTCAACATTTATGACCCTGAGGTTTAAACATTGGCAACAGCTTCACAGATGGAGGGCGGGTCGTTTTCAAACTGTGACTCTCGCCTTAGTGCGGCCCACATTCGTTTAAACAAATTGCAAGACCTTCACGGATTGAGGGTGGGTGGTTTTCAACATGTGGCTCTCACCTTAGCACGGCGCACATTCGGATGGTTTTCAGAATGTGGCTCTCGCCTTAGCGAGGTGCACATTCGTTTTAAACATCTGCAAGAGCTTCATGGGTTGAGGGCGGTTCCTCTTCAACATGTGGGTCTCGCCTTAGCGCCACGCAGACGTATTTTAAACACTTGCAAGAGTTTCACGGACTCCCATCATCAACGTACCAGAAAGGGTGGTTTGAAAGGACTCTGGATTATGCGAGTGTAACAGTTATGTCGGTTCGCTGTGTTGAAGTCCCAAGAATGGCGTTCTGGCACGGTGCAGGATCGTCAGGAAGCAACAGTCACGTTGATCCGTGGCCTTGGAATCCCGAGAACCATGTTGGCATGCTTCAGGATCTTCAAACGGTTGTCTTCCAACGCGGCAGTTCCCTCAATGGGAATGAACCGTTGGAAGGGGCCTATGAAGAGGGAGCCTGGAAGGAGGGTTGATTGCAATATCGTAGATGACTCTTGGGTTTACACTGGTCCTCCTCCTTCTCCGCCTCTTCCTCCTCCTCCTCCTCCTCCTCCTCCTCCTCCTCCTCCTCCTCCTCCTCCTCCTCCTCCCCCTCCTCCTCCTCCCCCTCCTCCTCTATTTGAGCTGCCTATGGTGCGCCAGAGCTTCCGTGGGCCCCCCAGGGCCGTCAGGGGATGGGAAGCATCCATGGGACACCTGCTGGCGGGACGGATTCTTAGTCGACGTGCCTGCTGCAATCGGAATGGGGAAGTATACCCTGGGCTTCTCAATAAGCGTGGGGGGGTACCCCCCCGAATGGGGGTCAACCTTCTTCTCGTCGTCACGCCGCGGGGGTCGGAGCACCTTCGGCGCGCGGTTGCTGCCAGCGACGGGGGTCGACGTGGGGCTGTTGGCGGGGGTGACGCCCCCCGACGCTTATTAAGAAACTCGGAGTACCCGTACCCCTTGTGCCCTGGAGAGGCCGCAGCGGAAAGTGCTTTTGACAGTCTTCTGCCTCTGGGGGCCCTGAGGCTGTGATCACATACATGGCGATGGTCTGGGACGGATGGTCACTGAGGCGGGAAGATGAAGGAGGCGAGGGGCGAGGAGAAAGAAGCGCACGCAGCTGCGGAGGCTCAAGGAGGGAGGGCCCGCGGCGGCAGCGGCGGCGAAGGACGAGGAGCGAGGGGTGGGGGAGGTGGTGGAAAAGCGGCAGCGGAGGCAGCGGTAACGGAGGCAGCGGCAGGAGCCAGCGGCAGCGGACGCGGCAGCGACAGCAGCAGCGGAGGCAGCGGCAGTGGGAGAAGGAATAGGAGCGGGAACAAAGGAGGCTGCTTCGGCGGTACCTGATCCGCGCGAAGCTCTGGAGGCAAAAGGGATGCGCGGAGGGCCGGGCCGCCTCCGCCAGCCGCTGGCCCAGAGCGCGGGCGGCATCGAGCTCATGACTCGAATCGCCTCTTTGGGGGCGGGAGGCATGAGTCGCCCTCGCCCTCGCCCTCGCCCTCGCCCCTCTCCCCCTCTCCCCTTCAGACGAAGCCAAGCTCGGGACAACATCGGAGCGAGTCGAGTCTGGAATCTCTGAGAGAAGTCGCCGCGGCCGTTCCAGAACGCTGCCGAGCGCTCTGAGCGCGTGCCGGAACGCGCTGGAACGCTTCACCCTGGCCCTGGGCCCGCACGGCCCTCCGCCCTCCCTGACAGCCATGCGCCGTGGCACAAACAATGCGACGGGATGCTCCGCTCCGCCTCTCCGCCTCGGGCCCCGGGGGCCCCCGCAGCGGTGCCGCACGGCGGCGGTCGGCGAGGCTGGCCACGAGGAGGCGCTGGCGGAGGACGAACGAGGGCATCCCGCGCCACCCCGCGTGGCTCCCCGGCATCACCAGCCCGAGCCTCCCGGGTGATCGAGCTGCCCCTCTCGGGCCGCACCGCGCAGTCCGCCTCTGCCCCTGCAGCCTCGGCAGGGCGCCCCGCCCGCCTCGGGAGCCCCGGCGGAGCGGTGGCCTCGAGAGCTCTGGCCGCCTCGCCGCTCGGGTGAGGTTACAGCGGTGCGCGGCGGCGCTCGGAGACGCGCGAGTCCCCGAGCCCCTCGCGGGGCCCAGAGCTGGCCAACGCTGGCGCGCCTCCCCAGAGCAGCACCCCCGTGACGACGCCTCCAGCATCCCGAAGGCGGTGGAACTCAGCCGGGATCACCGTCAGTGTGGTTCCCTTCGCCCCACGCTCTGGAAGCTGCTCGTCACTTGATCCCGCTGTAGCCACCGCCGCCGCGGCTGCTGCCCTAGTCCTGTGGCCCTGCTGCCGATGGTGCAGATGAACGCTGTGGCAGTAACGAGAGTGGGTCGTCCGACAAAGAGCTCAACGTGATGTTGCTGTCTTGCATCCTGCTGTCTACTAGCATTAGCTCGTGATTCGCATAAACCTTGGGAGGTGTGTGAGTGACACTCGTAAGGACATGCTTTTTCCAAACTCGGGCAAGCTGCGGCGGGGGGATCGGGGCCGGTGTAGTAGGGCACTATCACGGCCGCAACTGCGATTAGAACTGGCACCCAACCGCCACCAGAAGAGGGCTGACAAGCGCGACGCCAGCGGCTCCGCTACAGATCAGGAACGGGGCCAACTTCATGGCCACAGACAGGAAAGGGACGAAGGGGCAGGGGCGGAAGAGGTAGGCGGAAAGGGCTCCTGCTTTTACTCTTGCAACCCTTTCCCCCTCATGCCCCTTCACAGAATATGCTTGCGAACACTGTGATCGCAGAAAGCACGCACAATCCCTGACACGTGCGCGCTATTGAGGCATACCAATGAAGAAACGATTTGAATGCAGCCGTGGAGGGGAGTGCGACAACCGTCTGAGTGTCTAGAATGTGCAATGTGCCTGCGAAGACGATTGCACCGAAGAGGACGGACGACGACGACGACGACGACGCGCTGCAGATGCCATTTTGGGGGTGGGATTGCACAGGCCCGCCTTACATCGCCGTGGACGACGACGAAGAGGACGACGACGACGACGACGGCGACGACAGACAAACCGACCGACCGACCAACGACGACGACGACGATGAAGACGACGACGACGACGCGCTGCGGATACCCATTTGGAGGCGGGAGGTGGAGTTGCGCAGGCCCGCGTTAGTCGTCGACGACAACGACAACGATGGACGGACCGACCGACCGACCGACCGACGACGACAACGACGACGCGGCGCGGATGCCCCATGAGGGGGTGGGGGAGGGCTGCGTAGGCCCGCTGATGTCTACGACGACAGAAGACGACGACGACGACGACGACGCGATGTGGATGCCCCGTTGGGGGAGGGGAGCGGCCTGCGTAGGCCCGCTGTAGTCGACGACGACGCGCTGCGGATGTCCCATACGGGGGTTGGGGCGCGGGGGCGGGGGGGTGCTGTGCAGGGCCGACAACGAAGACGACTCCGACAACGACGAAGACGACATCAACGACGACGACAACGACGAAGAGGACGACGACGACAAAGGACCCCCCCCACCATCCCTGTCAAAAGCCATACAGCGTACACTTCGCCTCCAAATCTGGAGCACGCACTGGCGCCACGCGACCACTTTGCATTGGTTTTGGACAGGGACTCTGGGGGGGGGGCTGATATTGACTGCTGCGCGCAGACCAACCATTCCTTTGGTAACGAACCAAAGCCAAGTACACTTTGCCTCCGAATCTGGAGCACTCGCGGGCGCCCCACGACCACTCTACACTGGCTCCTGACAGGGACCTCCGGGGTGCCCTCGCATTGCTTGCTGCGGGCAGTCCAACCCTCCCATCAAACACCAATCCAAGATGCGGGCAATACTTATATCCATATCCAGAGCGTCTTGGACTGTTGGGAAAGGGGTGCCGCAAGGCCGAGTCGCACTGGAGATGGATAAACATCGAGCCTTTATGGGCCAGATGTTTGTCCATATCCAGTGCGCCTCCAGTTTCTGAGGAAGGGAGCCCAAAACTCCAAGACTCACTGGATGTGGATGTGGAAATCCAACTCTATTGACCCAACTGCATTCCTACGCCCTTTCTAAGGCAACCCGAGAAGTTTGTGCGTTTGAGTGTGCGCCCATAATGTCTGCGTCTGGAGCATAACACCGAGCGACCCGGATCGGCGGCACTGGCCGAAGGCCACTACAAGAACTGTTGCCCGCACGAGATACACTCTGCCTCCAAATCTGCCTCCAGATCTGGAGCACGCGCAAGCGCCCCGCGACCACTCTGCAGCGGTTCCCGCCGGCTGTCGATGGCGGCCCCTGACTGATGCTGGGACGAAGGATTGCAAAAAAACCCAAGGATTGCAAAAAAAAACGAAGGATTGCAAAAAAACGAAGGATTGCAAAAAAAACGAAGGATTGCAACAAAAAAACGAAGGATTGCAAAAAAACGAAGGATTGCGAAAACGAAGGATTGCAATCCTTCGTTCGGGTGCTCTGCTCATGTGCTGGGAGGGCTGCTGGGAGGGAGCGAGTTGGCTTGCGCCTTGAGGGCAGGACGTGTCTCGATCACTGCTCCATGCTGAGGAACACCCCCTCCCCCGCTCGACCGGCGACAAGCCTGGAGCACTGCCACCCCCCCACCATCCATCGCAAATACACAATACAAAGTGCACATCGAACCCACATCTGGATCATGTGCGGACGCCCTGCGATCACGTTGCATGTCTTCTTGACAGTGACGGTGTGGGGGGGGGTCGACACAATGCCTGCTGTGCGCAATGCCAGCACCCCACCCACCATCCCCTGCCCAAAACAATACAATATACATTTTGCCTCCGAATCACTAGAGCATGTCCGGGCGCCCCGCGATCACTTTGCATTGGAATTTGAATGCTGCTGACAGGGGCAACGGAGGGGTGGGGGAGCGGCATATTGCTTGGTGCATGCACCGCAAAATAAAATGCGGCATGCGCTCTGCACCGCAGTCAAGATCATGCGCAGGCGCCCCGCGATCAGAGGTTGACACGGACGGCGGAGATGCGGGCACATTGCCTGCTGCGCACAGGCCCACCATCCCTGTCAAAAACAAGTGCAAAGTGATTGCGGAGGCACGCGCACAGTGCGCAATGATGGCAAACCCGCCGTCACTGCGCCTTGGTGTTTGACAAGGATGGCGGGAGCTCGACATGTTGCCCAATGTGGCGCACCTGGTGCGCGTGGCGCACCTGGTGCGCGTGGCGCACCTGGCATGTGAGGCACCTCGCGGGCATCGCGCACCTTGCCAGGGACTGCATTGGTCCCCGACGGTTGTCGATGGCCGCCTCTGCCCATGCTGAGACCCAGGTGCTACTTGTGTTGTCGGAGGGTGGGTGGGAATGAAAGAGGCAGCTTGCGGCGTCCCCGCTGGGAGCATGAACCCTCCTCTACCCCTCCCTCTGGGTTTGGACGGGGGGAGGGCGCGGGTCGTCAGAGCGACCAAGACGGCCTCAGCGAGAAGGCACATACCACTGATTGTCCGAAGGCCTTGGGCCAGTTTGGGCCTCCTGGGGCAGGGGGGGAATCAGGGACCCCTCTCCTTTGATCGAAGTCCATCAAGCTGGCCCTAGGATTGCCACCAAGGCTCACAAGAGTGCCCCAAGAGAGCCCCAAGAGGCACGCAAGAGGCCACAGGAGGCCCACAAGAGATTCCCATCCAAGAAGCTCCAAGAGGCCACCAGGACCGCCAGAAGGCCCCCAAGACGCCCTAAGGGAACTGCAAGACTCTCTCAAGGGACACCCGAAGAGACACGAAGGGGCATCCAAGAGTCTTCTTGCCTTTCTGCTCGCCGTCCTCCTTCCTCCTCCTCCTCCTCCTCCTCCTCCGCCTCCTCTTCCTCCTCCCCTACCTCCTCCTCCTCCTCCTCCTCCTCCTCCTCCTCCTCCTGCTCCTCCTCCACCGCCTCCTCCTCCTCCTCCTGCTCTCCTCATTTTCCTCATCCACTCAATCCTCCTCCTCCTCCTCCTTGCTCCTCCTTCCTTACCCTCCCCATCCCCCGCCTCCTCCTCATCCTCCTCCTCCTCCTCATCATCCTCCTCCTCCTTCCATCTCCCCCGCTTGGGGTATGAAGGCTTCCCCAGCCCTTGAACTCCACTGCATGCTCGGTCACATCCCTGATCAGGGCAACTGGCCTGGGCATCGTTTCTGGACGAACTGGTGCGGTTACTTTTTCGGTCGCGGCCGCGCGACAACGGTCTGGCGGCGAGAGGCAAAGTCCGGGGCAAGCGGCACGATGCTAATTTGCGAACACCGCCGCCACGTTGGCAAGCCGGTTCGCACCTGCACAACAAGTGCGCAGTTGCACATGCACAGAACAAAATGAACTAACTGGTGCGGTTACGCAAAGCGTCTAGAACATTTTCTAACGATACCACCAAAGGCACCCAGAAGGCCCTCATGAACGCCAAATATCTCGCTAGATGCCTCCCAAAGCCTCCAGGCATCCCCAAGACACTCTCCGGGAGGTCCTCCAGAGACCAAATATAGATTGCCCGTATAATATATGTTTGTTTCCGCGCTCTTTTGTCGAATGTCGATCCACTGTTACACTCTTCGCAAGCCTAAAGAGGAGCACGCCAATCCCCAGGAGGACCTACACTCGGCCAAATTCTGGCCTCAAGCACCAAGAAAGCCCCGAGCTGGCCAAAAGGGTCTAAAAAGGACCCCAGACGGGCCAAGACGGCCACCCGACGACGGCCCCAAGGGACCTCCCAGGCAACCAGAAGAGCCCCGAGACGACCAAGAGGGCTCCAAGGACGGTCGAACCGTGCCGCGAGATGGCCCAAGAAGACCCAGAGAGGAACCCCACGACTGTCTCACAGACGCCCGAGACAATCCCATGACGGCCCAAATACGCTCCATGAGAGTTCCTCAAGTTGTGGACACGCGAGGTGCTACGTGCGACGGCCGTCGGTGTTCGAAGCTTCGCCACGCAGACTGCTGATGAGGGCACCGGTCGGGGAGGACCAGCTCAGGAGGAACATCGATCCGGAATCGGCGATACATCGCCGAGGGATCGATGACGGGCCCCCGATGGCAGATCCGCACGTTCCTGGGCGGGGTAGGCGATCGGGCCCCTCTCGGCGATCTACGGGCGATTGGGGGCCCACGCATCCCACCCTGGGCCCATCCCCCGAACGCTGCCCCTGCGCGGCGGGACTTGCCGTCCGCACCTGGACAGCAGGCTAGTTCCCGTCAGGAATCCCGGCTCCCTCAGCCCCAGCTGCGCGGGCGCGCGCGCGCCCATCGAGATCAAGTTGGCGACATGCAGCGACGGGAGCCGCTGCTGCAGCGTCAGGAACGCCTGGGTGCGGGGCAATCTAGGTCAGCGCTGTCTTTGTTCCGAGCTTGTGCGAATGATGCTGCACACATTCGCGGGCACACGTATGGTGTCAAAGCATGCGTGCAAAGAGCCAGGCGGACGCAACGATGCCAGTACGTATGTGCCGTCATGCACATAGAAACTCCTTCACACGTCTAAAAGTACACGCGTATGTATGTGCGCCCATGCATATACGCACAATCAGTAAACCCACACATCTTCTGTGTGCTTTCACGCACGTGCTCACGCATGCAGGATTGCATATGAGTGCAATTGCGTGAACGTGTGCACGCCCACAAGACATTGGGCCGAAGCAGGGAGAAGAACCGCCGAACCCCGTTAGCTGGAGGTGAGAAGTCGTGCCGGATGCTGAACAATCCCGCTCTCCATGTCCGCCCCCCCCCCTCAAGGAGGGACCAACACATCACGTCCTCAGAGCACATCCTGGGCCATCCGGCGGCTCCAACCATGTCCCAAGACGTTTTAAAATGCGGCTCACGCCCAAACTACTTCAATACTGATGCAGTAGGCCCCAAGACACCGGCGAAAAACGCAACGAGGTTCCAAGAGGGAGTCCCAGCACCCAAATGTATCACAATATATTGATTCCCGCGCGGGCGACCCACAAGTTAAACTCGCACCGAAGGGAGGAGGACGCTAGGGGATCCAATTTTCACATGTCGCAAAGTGGGATCAGCCGCTCTGCGGTCCGCCGCCCGCCCACGTGCAGGGCGGGAAAAATGGGGCGGGTTTGAAGAACACGTGCCGCCAGCTCGAGCCCCACAGGCCGCGGCACGGAAACAGAGAAGGAGAAGAGATGGAGACGCGAGTGGCGAGCCAGGAATCCAAGCCCCAACAAAACCCGATTCCCGCGCGGGCGACCCACCAGTTGGAGGGGCACCCAAGGGGGGAGAGCGGGGGCCTCCTTCTCCTCCTCCTTCTCGTGCTCCTTTTCCCGCTCCTTGCAGGCAAGCCGCCAGGCGAACCACCTGGGGCGTCAACCTGCTTTCCTCTCCTTGGGAAGGCCGTGGGGGCGGATCGCGCCACGGCGTCAGAGCCTCCTGCTCCCTCACCCCATCCCCCCCTCGCCCAGGGCCTGCTGCTTCCATCGGGCCGCATCCCCGGGAAACTCGTTGCCGAACTCGCTCCTGGCGGAGATGACATGGACGCCCTTTAGCAGGGGGAGGATCTCGGGGACCTCGGGGGGAGGACGAAAACCGAAGAGGAGGAGGAGGAGGCGGAGGAGGAATCGAGGAGCCTGGAGGATACAAAGGAGTTGGATGGCGATCGTGAGAAACTGAGGAGGGTCGAGGAGGAGGATGAAGAGGATCGAGGAGGAGGAGGAGGAGAAGGAGGAGGAGGAGGAGGAGAACGAGAATCGAGGAGGCGTGAGGAGAGGAGGTTTTCTAATGTTCCTGAAGTCTTAGCGATTGTTTCCTTCTGTATTCGAAGGTCTCCGGGTGTTTTCGCCTGGAAGGCGATGGGCAAAGGAAGACACGAGGAGCAGGAAAAGGAGGGAGGGGAGGGGGAAGACCACTCCTCCTCCGCTGCCCTCCCCTTTTGGCGCGCCCCCCCCCCCGGTGACATGCATCGAGGCGCTGTGCTCGACCCAGCCGCTGACGCTGTTGGTGATGATCACCACCTGGCCGACCTCGTCGCGCCGAGCAACGACGGCTCGGAAGAGCACGGCAGCGAGGACGGCGATGAGGCACAGGAGGGCGACGAGCAGGCCGCCACGACCGGGAAGAGGTGAGCGGCGACGGCAGCGTCGGCGACGACGGCGACGGGGACGGGGACGGCGGCAGAATCGACCCGCGGCCTTTTCCCGGAACGGCTCCGTCCAGGATTTCGATGCGGAAAGAATCATGGCGGAGGACCCCCGAAGCCCCAGAACACCTGAGGGCGATGAACTCTGCCCCTGGACGTCCCTTGGGGCGCGCCATGGGGCCTTGGCGACGAAGAGGACCCCCCGAAGGCATAGAATACCCCGTGGCGCGAAGGGGGAGCTTCTAAACAAGCGGCGGAGTTTCTAAGAAGGCATGGGGGTTTCTCAGAAGCCCGCCCAATTTCAGAGAAACTCCTTCCGCCTTCTCATCTCAGAAGACAGCCCCCCCCTCGCGCCATCCCCCTTGGGGGCGTCGCCAAAGGTGGCCTCTGACTCGGGAGGAGGAGGAGGAGCAGGAGGAGGAGGAGGACGACGACAATCAGGAGGAGAGGTAGGAGGATAATGAGGTGCAGGAGGAGGAGGTAGTGGTGAAGGAGGAGGCGGCGGCGGCGGCGAGACGGTAACGGGCCGAAGGTCGAACTAAGCGAGTCTGAGCGCACCCCGATAAACTTCGGGGGCGTGCGACCAACCGTGCGTTGTATAGTAAAGCGAGCAGTGGCCCCCGCGGCGGGAGCCCCGAGTCGTCCTCGTTCACCAAGGTTCCTGCGAGGAGAGCAGACACGAAACTGACCCCCAAGGGTCATCCAAAACCGAGTGGCGACCCCACCAAGTCTTGAAAGCTGAGCTGGCAAGGCTGACGAGGAAGAGGAGGGGGTGGCCTCGGAGGAAGAGGTTGGGGGGCGGCGGCGGCGCGTCGACACAATCGCGCCTCGAGGCCGTCCTGGACAAGGCCCTGATCCTGGACAAGGCCCTGCTCTCTCTCTCTCTCTTTTCTCTCTCTCTCTCTCTCATTCTCTCTCACTCTCTCTCACTCTTTTCCTCAGACCTCTCGAGGGAGATGCCGATGGCGAGACTCCACCACTGCAGAATCCACATCACCAACATACGACACCAAAAACACGAAGTGCGTAAGACATCGGGAGACACCGACGACGCCATAACATACTCCACCCTTGCGGACTTAGCACCAGCAACATTCTGACCCATCCGATATCCGTCATGGGGCACATCATGGGAGGCACCAGTTGGTCATCATACGACACACCATGGTCTGATCCAGTGCCGACACGTGATTGAGACCGATCCACCGAACCCACATGTTCATAAGCACGTACGGCTACATCTTCGCTCACTGTGCGTCCTCGAAGTAGTCGAGGGCCATCTGCAAGATGCGCTCGACGTTGGACTGCGGGGCGACCCTCTCTTCGAATTTGACCGCTCCGCCGAGCTGAACCGCGCACTCCTGACGCATCTCCGCCAGCTCGGCGCGCGCGAAACAGAACACCATCTTGGCGCTGCCCTCCTCGAAGGCCGGGCTCGCCCGAAACCCTCTCGGCAGCGGGCGCATGTCCGCGAGGGGCGTGATCTGGCCCCGTTTCGCCTGCCGCTGATCCCGCGACGTTTCGTCGCGAACTCCCGCGCGCCCCTGCCTTCGCGATGGCCCCGCGCACTGCCGTGCACGCCTGGGCGTGAGCCAGCCCCGTCGCCACCGCTGGAAGAAGCGTCTGTTTCGCGCCCCTCTAGCGAGCCTCGCGGAGCTTGATCGCCCGGGTCACGCAGGCTTCCCCTGCCTGGAAGGAGGACCTCACGAGCTTCGTCGCATCGTCGAGCAACATCACCTGGAGAGCAACATCACCTGGAAAGCTGCCGCCATGAATTGCCTGACCACGCACGCGTTTCCCAGGACTGCATTCGTCAGCATTGGCATGAAACTGGTCGCCAGAGCGTTGGGCGCGGCGGGAAGCCGATCGATCGCGCCTGGGTTCAGCCCGCGCGGCTTTCCGACCTCACTCTTGAATGCGTCCTTGTAGCCGAGCTCCTTGCTGCCGGCGGCCCCGCTGCCTGCCCGGCAACGCCTGGGGGGGGACAGACGGCCCCGCCCCGCTCGGCCGCGCCGCGCCGGAGCGGCCCCCGGCCTCCCCCGCCCGCTCGCTGCTGAGTTTGACCACTTGCGCTCTCGCACGTTGCAGGCGGGGCCACAGGAGGCGCGATCGTCTTGCGCCCATTCTGCGAATGCCCGCTGCCAGCCAACTCTTGCCGTGACAACCACGTGCATGCGCGAGCGTGCGGATCGTTCTCTGCCGATGTCATCGCGCGCGTGCAACTGGTGTCGCCAGCCTTGATGCGACGCGATGGGCACACTGGTCTCTGCAAGAAAAGCGCCCACGCCGCGAGCCGCGCCTCGCGCGGCCAAATCGCCGCGCCGAGGTCCGCGGGGGGCGCTGGCGGGGCGACGGGCGCGGCCGCCCGCTCCTCGCGAGTCTCCGGGAGAGGAGGAGCAGGGGCGGGGCGCCGCGCCACCTGGCGCGAGATATCAAGCAACCTCTGGATTGGTTTTTCAAGCGCACGCGCAAAGGCGATCGCCGCCTGACTGTCGCCAACGAATGCCCCGCACTCACCTCGCAAAGTCTGCTCTCCGTCTGCTGCCTCGGTCGCGAAGATGCTCGTCTCGTGCCTCCGATGAGAAAAGTCGCGATCGGATGGGCGAATGGCACCGCGCGCAGCATGGCGAAGCTCTGCGAAAGAAGAACAGCCGAACGCAATTTGCGCGCCCACGTTGGACGCGACCGCGTAGACTCCTCGGGGTCGAAGGCGCCCCAGAAGCGCCCCCCGACGCACGATTGCCCCCCCTCGGTTTCGCCCAGGTAGATGGCCGCGCCCTCAGTCTGGAACATGTCAGAGGGCCCTCGCCGAAGAGGAGCCCGGTGCCAGCGCGCCCTCGTGCGACGCGGCCAGCAGACGCGCGGGCGCGGGCCGGGGCCCGCCTAGCCGTTGCACGTAGATAAGCAGTGGCTTGAAAATCGCGACGCACGACAGGGGCACGACCCGCTCTCCGAAAATGGTGAGCGACTTTCTGGACAGCACGCAGCGTGAACGAATGCTGCATCGCAGGGGCGTCGGCGCCAAGACCACGATAATCGCCAGCCAAGCGATGGCGGGGGACAACAGCCGCCCTGCGTTCAGCGCGATCCTCCTCCTCATCCGCGTCGTCGCGTCGTCGAGGTCGTCGACAGGTCCCGGCGAATCTCGATTCGGCGCCAGCGCCAACTGCGAGACTTCGCTCGGGGCACTGCGAACTGGCGATACTTTCGCCGAAGTGCCTTCTCGAGCAACGGCATCACTTCCCGACTTCCCTATGGTCACCCCGGCCCTCCTCGACGCGAACAAAGTTGCCCGGGCCGAAGGTGGGAGTGCGTGGAAGGCCCTCCAGACACGAAGATTGGTAGGCCGCGCAATCAACCGCCGCCGCGCAGAGGACCCCCAGGGACCCGAGAGGGCGAAGCACTCCTTCATCCTGGAGCACCTCGGCACGAACTTGCGCGCAGCGTTATACTTCCCCTTCGGGCCACCACGCTTGCCAGCCAGTCGACGAGCCAATATCCATCTGGGCGTCGCCGATTGGCACGCGCAGCTCCTATCTCAGGAGCCAGCTCAGCAATCGACTCCTCCAGCGTGCGCGCCGTAGTCCACGCCTGCCTGTCCTCTAGACGCCCGCGCCGAAGACGAGCTCACCTCCTCCTCGTCTCCATCGTTCCCGTAAAGGCGAATGCGGGCTTCGGCACGTCTTCGAGCCTTCGGGTCGGCACCCGGCCGGCGCCCGAAGTGTCGCTGCTCTGCCACGGCGAACACAACTGCGACCCACTTGTCCTAGCTTGTCGGGCGAAGACGCTTGGAGGCACACCGCGTGGATGTCGACCTGCCCGAACTCCCGCTCGCGGTCCGCGACGAAATCCTGCGCCCCTTTGCCTCGCCGAAATTCTTGGGCCAGCCGATCGAAATCCCAATCCACACGATCGGTTCTGGAATGACACATGTCCAGCAGCACGTATCAAGTCTGAACCTCAATAGGACGGGGTCCCGTGGACCGTTGCGCCTCAGCAGCTTCAGCCGCATATTCGATCAAACCCAGGGCACACATTTCACAATATCTTTCCGTTGCCAATCGAATGTCGCAAAATGACCGATACTGGCGTCCGTCTTAGAATCATGGTATGTCGGGACGACCCAAAAATCGGTTGACACCACCCTGAAGGCGCGCTTCTCTAGAAACTCGAGAACACGATCGTTCGCGCAGTGCTGCTCCTCGTGACAGTGTTGGCCTAAAGCCCAAGACGGCACCGCAACCTGACCACCACTTTTGTTTCGCCAGCCGAGAGAGCCATTCAGGTCGGAAGCCCATAGAAGGCTCGCGCAGGCAGAGGACAACGTCAAATACGCTCCAACTACACGAGCACATCGTGTCGGCCGTGTGCCGATATCTCTGGTGAGCAGCTTGTCCTTCACGGTCCCTTCCTTCGCGGCGTCCCGAAGGCTTGGGAGGAAAGCGTTGATCGGGATCAGCAGACCAACACGTCCTGAACGGAGCGTACGGAGCACGCCCAGTCCCCGAACATGCTGAAGGACGGCGGGAGCGTCGATGACGTGACTGTGACGGAACCTCTCTTCCGCAAGAACAGAATGATACCACACGGTTGGTTCACATGTCTTCCAGGAGTGTAACCACCACGCGCTGCAAAGTGAAGCCTCGTAACTTCGCTGCCGCCTGATATGGTGAAGCACGCTCGCCCGTGCTTGTGAAGGCAACGAGGTCGTTGTGCTGAAACTCATCGCTGATGCCCTGTCATCTCAGTTCACCCACTGCAGACATACAGCTCCAGTGCACAAGCTTAAGCATACCATCGTACACAGTACATCAGAAGTGGGTTCTGGCCGTGGTGTTATGCAGCGCGTGGTACGGTGGCCAAATCGTGGGCTCTCCTGCCCCA